TACTTCCCATGTTCACTTCTAAATTGTTTATATGAATGACGAAAAGCAGTGGACCTAGCACCAATTCTTGTGATACGCTGCTGGTCACTGGCCTCCAATCTGAAAAGCAACCTTCCGCCACCATCCTCAGTCTTCTACCTTTTGAGCCAGTTCTGTATCCAAATAGCTAGTTCTCCCTCTGTTCCGTGTGATCTAACCTTGCTAACCAGTCTACCATGAGGAACCTTGACGAAAGCCTTGCTGCGGTTGAATAAATCCGACTGCTTTGGTTGGGAAGCAATTACTCTGGATTTTGCTGACTCTGTTTGAGAGTGGATGGGATATTATTTTGCTGTGTGTTTTGAAATCTATTATTTAGCTTGTTTTTTAAAACAGGTTTCTTTCGTGAAATGAGCTTCTGTTTTATTGTTCAAACCAAATCTGTAGCCAGGCACACTTGTGTTTCAGTGAGAGACCCCTCAGTAAAGGAACACTACATGAAAAAGAATCTAGTTTTCATTGATTTTGGATTTGCTCAGTATAACATGAGCTGGGATTGTAACAAGTGGGAACTCTTGCCAGGACCTGAGTTCATGAAATTTAAGTGAGATCTATATCTCACTTAAAGAAACAGTTTTGTGGCATTGGAGGGCATAAAATGTTTGTTGACAAATGAACAGTGGTCCAATTCGGTGGTATTTCCACCTGAGTGTGTTAATTAAATTTTGCAAATTACGTAGGAAATTGCATTCGTGGGTCACTTGGACCGTTGGAAACATGTACTAAAATATTAAAACGTGATATTTGGCCAGAATAATACGAAAATGTTAACTTTTTTGCTACATCTGCCATATGTGGGGAAGCCCCCAACCATCAATTAATCCATTTCCTTTATTTCTGGTAGCAGATTCGGAGAAACATTGAGTAGTTCCTCAGAGAAGAGATTAGCGCTAAGTTAAAGTAATCATAGAATCGGTGCAGACATGATAGGTTTAATCAGCCAAATGTTTTCCATCTGCAGCATAACAACTCTACGATTTCAAAATCTCTGCAAAGTTGCAGGGGTTTTCCAAAAAAAGTCACTTTAACCCCTTAGCCACTGCGCCAGTGTTGTTGGTATTTCAAGCAAGGACAGAGACAAAGGGTAATTGGTAAGTACTGTCAGCATAATTCCCCTATCTCTTGTGGTCTCTCAGTGGCCTGGTGTGGTGTGATGGTCTTTCACCCTGGTGTGGTCTCAGCAAATAATTTTGATCTTGAGGTGATTCCAGAGCGGTCTCCTGACCTCGAACCTTGTGATGAAGCCCAGCGGTCTAGAGTCAAGACTGGCACAGACTGGAGGCTAGGTGGCAGGACTGGGTTGGAAGTACCATTCTGAACTTTTTATTTCTACACTTTCTAGTTTTATTCCTACAATCTGCAATGCTGGACCTTTTTTTCTATTTTATAATTTTTTCATTTTATAATTCTTTCCCTCCTAAAAACTTGTACTGAAGAATCTGTATCTAGGTACCTTTGTACCTAAGATGGTGCTGTAAGTGGTGACTTGTAAACTTATCACTGTATTCGTCTGAGTACATGTGACAATAAAGCTAATTCAGATGATGCAGGACCACTTACCAGAAACCAGGAATGTGAATCAGCGTATTGTAAATATGGGTTCTTCCAGATTTCTAAAGCAGAGCCTTCAGGAAAAAAATCTGCAAAAATGGTGGTGGATAAGTTATTTTAATTGTTCACAATATATGAAATAGCCAAAGAAATACAGTCAGATTAAGGTTCAAATTTTACGGTATATTCGAAGAAAGGATGACGTGGGAATAAAGCAGTTTACATCTTCAGCTCAGCACCCATGATCTCAAGCTGCTTTGGAAAAATGACGTCAAACTTTGGTCCATTTCGAGATTATCATTAACTGTGTCAAGCTGATAATATCTCCTACATGTAGATTGTGATCGATTGTTTGATTGCAGTGTCTCTGACATTTGATCTCCACATTTGCTTGGGTTACCTTACTATGTGTACCTCAGACAGTTGCTTCGCACCAAACACCTGCTCTTCCCTACTGTGCACGTCACTTTGAGTTCTGCTTCCAGAAAATCTGCGGTCAGAGTAAAGTGCATGCTCTTAATAGGTTTTGCCAGTTGTTGCTTCATGTTTTGGTATGGACCAGATAAGCTATCATTGCCTGGTACAATAAGTTTCGTGGTGACATTGCAAACAAATGAATAAAAAATACACTAGGAGCTGATGTGTGAAACCAGTATATTACAGTACAAGAATCTGAGGCTATTCAGTCCATTATGTCCATGTGTATTCTCTGCAAGAGCAGCTCATCTAATCCTGCTCCTGTGTCTGGTCTTGCACATGCAGTACTTTTTTCCTCACCTGCTTATGGAATGGATCCATGTAGAATGAAGAAAAATTACAGGGAAAGCTGCCATATCTGAACAACGCAAACGGACTAGGTGCTTGGAAACAAATCATGACCACAGAATTAACCTCCTGTCCTCCACACTTGAAAGCAGCCAGCAATGTTCTGTATGTTTCAGAGGTCTACATGCAGCATGACCAGCAGCTTCTTGAATTGCAAACTGAAGCAATAATGATGAATGATGAACCTGGGCCATCTAAAAAGAAGCTAAAAATTGTTATATTGCTCAGGAATGGGATTTTCTTTTCACAGCTGTAAAAGATTAGAGCATTTGCCTTGATGGTCACCAGAGTAAAATGAGCAAAAATGGAAATTTTGAATGGCACCGCACAATGATACACAGTAAAATCCAAGAAAGTTTTCCCTTGAACAGCATGCTTCACACAGAGTTGACAAGCTGAAGGCTGTGCTAAAGGTCAAGTTGTTCTTCAAACTAGCAGCGAAAAGTTAAGGCCTGCACTGAAGCATCGTTTGATGTTTGCCAACTTTTGGCAACACATTTGTAGGTAGCCAGCTGCTTAAAGAGGCATTGACTGTGGTCACTAACAGTTTAATTAAAAACTTTAACAGCAAAAAATAAATGGCAATCCAGAGCATGTCACTTGGTGCATTTAAGTACAGGATGAGTGGAATCGTTGTTTGAAGGTGTTTTTCAGCAACTACAGCAGGCCTTGAAGGGCTGTGACTGCTTCTCTGCAGTTTGAGTCCACTGACATGACTGACACAGTCCAGATGATTGCATTTGTGTGGTTGGTTTTTAAGGACAAAACAAAAGATCTTCTTGCTGTTTTGCCCTTGAAACAGGGAATAATTCAAAAGGTATGCGTTTGTTTGATAAAACATTGCAATCAAGAAGCTGGTCTTCATCACAACTGATGATTTACACCAAACATATTTGGCACAATTTGATGCATTTTGCAGAAATGATCTTGATTTCCCCTCTTTGGCCGATGACCACTGTAATCCACCAGCAAGTATTAGTGAGTAAAGTTATGGAAATTTTGCATGTAATGGAGATTTTGGTTGAGATTGTAAAGTTTAATTCGAGCAAGAGTCTTTTGGCATCACTTGTTTAAATACTTAGTCGATGAATTCTGCCTACAGTGAATTCATCCTTGTAACCGGATGTTGAGGTGGCTAAGTCAAGTTAAGGTTTTGCAAAATTTTTCAGATATGATGCCTGAAATCATCCTTAAATGGAGGAATAAAGTGTATAGTGAGCTGTCAAACAATGCGTGGTTGCTGTATTTCAGGTGTTTTACAGATATAATGTTAAAACCTGAACAAGTTGAACTGTGACTGCAGGGAAAGGACAAGAGACTTTGATCAGTACTGTGACTGTATTCGAATCAAAACTAAGTCTGAGGTCTTAATTCAAACAAAAACACTATAACAGTTCCTGAGTCTGGAGAAAACACTGGAAAAATTCAAAGATAGTTCAGCACAGTGCAGGCCCTTCGGCCCACGATGTTGTGCTGAACCTTTATCCTAAACTTAAGGTCTATCTAACCTCAACCCCTACCTTATACTATCATCCATATGCCTATCTAATAGCCGCTTAAATGCCCCTAATGAGGTCGACTCCACTACCCTCTCCGGCAATGCTTTCCACGCCCCTACCACTCTCTGATTAAAGAACCTACCTCTGACGTCTCCCCTATATCTACCTCCACTCACTGTAAAACTATGCCCCCTCATAATAGCTACCTCCACCCTAGGAAAAAGTCTCTGGCTGTCTACTCTATTTATACATTTTGTACACCTCTATCAAGTCACCTCTCATCCTTCGTTGTTCTAAAGAGAAAAGCCTTAGCTGACTCGACCTTTCCTCGTAAGACCTTCCCTCCATTCCAGGCAACATCCTGGTAAATCTCCTCTGCACCTTTTCCAACGCTTCCACGTCTTTCCTGTAATGAGGTGACCAGAACTGGACACAATACTCCGGATGTGGCTGAATCAGGGTTTTGTATAGCTGGAGCATAACTTCACGGCTCTTGAACTCGATCCCTCTATTAATGAAAGCTAACACACCATACGCTTTCCTAACAACTCTATCCACCTGGTTGGTAGCTTTCAGAGAACTGTGGACATGAACTCCAAGATCCCTCTGCTCCTCCATGCTGCCAAGAATCTTTCCATTAACTCTGTATTCTGCTTTCAAATTTGTCCTTCCAAAATGAATCACCTCCACCCAGAAAATGAATCACCTCTACCCAGAAAATTTCAGTGTACACCAGTGGAAGTTGGCAAAACAATTCAACAGGCAATTCCAGGAATTAGGTGTGATGGGGGGAAAAAAAATCACCATTTTTGTCTCCATTCCATTCCTTAAAGTAGACATTGGTAGGTTGGCTACCAAATTCCACTGGCTGATTGACAAACCACTGGAGTTGGTGGAGACCCTTACTATGCAAAATGATATTGAGCTTAAAAGTCAGATCAAAGGACAGCAATGTGAATAGAGAAAAGTACCCACTTGTACTGTTTATACTTTTTGTCATGCAAGCTTGCTTTGACCTTGCATACCCTTTGTGAGACATTGTTGTCCAAAATGAAAATTAAGTTCAAGTATTGCATCACCTCTCAGATTCCCATTTGGACTGAAAAGAAGTTTCAAACTATAACCCAGACTTGAAGGCACTGGCAGGTAATGCGCAATTACAGATGTTGAACTGAGAATTGGTAAGTAGAAGACAAAATAAATGATTATGCATACTTGGCTTTAGGTTTATATAGTACCAAAATAAAATGTGTATAGTATATTTTCTTCATGGTAGATCCTGCACTGGATGTTGCACTTAATTTCAAAAAGTAATCTTATGCATAAAAGAGATGGCGACCACTGGTCCTTGTTACTTTTTGCCATGAGTGACTTGGAATGAGATCACAAGATTTACTTCTTTTGAACTGAGATATCAACATGAGGAGAGGGGAACACTCAACTGGATTTAAAGAAAAATTGAAAACCAAAAGCTTAGAGACTAGACTTCCAGCCAATGTTTTGATCTTTTAGACAGAACCTAATCAAAGCATGAGAGTTGACTGAGAAGCATTTGAAGAGTGTTCAACAAACAGTGAAAATTAGAGCAGATGAAAAAGGCCAAGTCTGAATTTTGTTGCAGGAAACAGTGGTTACATTGTTACCTGTCTCTGTGGAACCATTAAAAGTGAGATTTACTGGATCTTAGCAAATAAAGAAATTACGTAAGTTATGTTGAGAGTAGTCCTAACAGGTGGAAGAACTGGGGAGTGTGTCAGGTTAATATGCTTTACAAAAAGTGATATGGACAGTAGTCAGTTGACAAATATTTTGGGCAGTGAAAGAAATGGTGAGCGAAGTAAAAATACCATGATAATTAGAGAATTAAATTGAAAATTCAGAAGTTGATCCTCCAATTAGATAATATGAAGGTAATTAAGAGATTAGGTAGCATAATATTTTATCTCCCAGAAAACTCGAAGTGCAGTACAATGACTGTTGGAAAATCCTAATTTCATTTGTGCAAATATGACACACAAACATCCTTAACTGTTCTTGATGTTAATGTGGGGACTGCATCACCCATAAAGAAAGAACCTTTCAGACTCAATCCAGGGAAATTGGCTCCAACTGAAGGACAAGATCAAGTTCAAAATGGACAATAACATGATTGAACCAAGTAGTTTGAGCTTACCTATCACGATGCTGGAACTGGATGGGTCATTATGATTCTGTATTGATTATCGCAAAGTCATTAATAAAAATAGACTTGCATCCTGTTATGATTGGAGGATGGCATTGAAATAATTTGACAGACATGATTCATCAAAATTGACTTCTTCAACACAAAGTTATAACATTTGAAATTTTAAAAATTGAACAAACTGTTTAGCAATCAATCATCAAAACTGTTGAAGGGCCATGTAATAATGTCGTGCATGTAGACAACCAGACTTAGGAAGAGCCGAGAGCATTTGACTGATTTATGACAAGATTGGCCCTTGGTAAACAGACAAATCAGTTTAAGATTGATATTTGCCAAAGTGAAGGTCACTTACTTGAGCCTCCGTGTGGGACAAGGCCAAGTAGTACCTAGAGAAGTGTAAGTAAGGACTATTTTGGATTTTCCCATGTCTAGGACAGGCAAATGTGAAATTTTGCGCTTTCTTGATCTGTGTGGATTTAATTGGAGACTAGTTCCAAACTTCAGCATTTTAGTGGCTCCTTTAACAATTTTGTTTAAAAGGCAGAAAATTTGAATGGATATAAGAATATCGAGAGTACCTCTGATAACATAAACTGTGGTGACAACTGCACTGATTTTCTTTAGCTTGTCAAATTATGAGAAGCCGTTCAAAATGGCTGTTGATGCCAGCGATATTGTTGTGGGTGCTGCTTTACTACAAGATAACAGAGTGGTGATCTAACAGACTGTCAGTAAGTTTTTGAAATAACTGAACACGTTGATCCAACTGTTTGGAGGAGGAGATGTGAAATCCTTGCCCCCTGCACATCAGTTTTGAAATATACATAAACAATAATGTGGAAGAAACAGTTATTTTGACGTGACACAATCCTTTTTTTGCAGGAAAACATTTGGGATGAGAACTTGTTTTTCTTTTGGCGGAGCTTAATCCTCCATTTTATGATTTAATATCCATTCACGTATCTGGAAACAATGTTACAAATGGGTGCTTTATGATGTGCACGTATGGTGGAAATAGTGCTGTGATGCTAATGACCTTGTGTAAAATATGGTTCCCATGTAACACATTGTGTGTTCTTTGTTAATATCACATTACTGTTAATGTGATATAATAATTTTAAATCAAAAATCTTGATAAAAATGAGTATCTCCCTTTTTGTTTTCATTATTCTTTGGGGTGAAGTGTGATGAAATTTACCTAAAATGTAATTGAGTTTGTATTTTAAATTATGGTATTTGGGTGTTTTTCCTTTTAAAAGAAGGGATTTGAAAATATAGCTTAGGTCAGTCCTTCTGGAGCCATAACTTTATGCCAGTATATGTGTGTGTGTGTGTGTGTGTGTGTATGTATATGTCTCTTTTTGCTATTCACAGCACGAAAGTCACTGACCATATCCATCCAGCTTGTACTTTGAAAATTCACAACCATGTCCCAACATTACATTGGGGACAACATTTGCTGAATGTTCCTCAATGCACAATGTATGAGGAATTACATTGACAGCCATTTGAGGTTTGATGGTCAGGCTTGCAATGCAGCTCACTGCAGCTTTGTGCTGGAAGTTGCACATATTTGTACATAGGCCATGTTCCTTGCATTGAGAAAGGAGATGTACCCACAATGTGCCTGTTCCAGTTCAACTGAAGAGATGAGAGGCATTCTGAGATTCAACCTGGCTGGTTTAAAATTTGACTGTCCATCAGTAGTAATGGTGCATTCGCCAAAGTAAGGCATCTGTGAATCACAGTCCATTTGCCAACCAATCAGCATACTTTCCCACATGTTAGCCAAATTTGGTTTCCCCTTGAATTCGTATACTTGCTCATTGTCCTGATGAGTGCAAGATGAAAAGCTTTGACAAAAAACTTTTAAAGCAATACTCAAATAGCTAAGTATGTCTTTGTGTATGCTAAGTTTCTTAACTTTTCTTGTTATAAATTCTGAAGATTCATTCTCAAAAATGACTTTTATCTATTCATACATAACCACCAATGATCACAATACCATTTTATTAATTGCTCTTGCAGAGAGCCAAAACAAATATGGACTTTAATAGAGTCTTTGTTTTGTAAATATAATTGATCCTATAGAGCCAGCCTGTTACTGTTTTCAGTGCTTTTCCAGTCAAAGCTTTTCCACGATTGTCACTACCAACCAATTTCCTGACCAGCATTATGGAAAATATTGGAGACATAAGTGCAGAAAATGGTCCAGTTTATATGTTTACGAACTATGTAATTCTTATAAGTATATATTATTACACCCTCAAGTTACTAACAAAACAATATGTATGCATTAGACAAAGGCATTGAATAAACTTAGTGATTCTTTTGATTTTCCTTCTGGTTAGTTGCTTTGACATTCTAACTGCTGCATCTTGAGTATTTAGTGTACCTGTCCGTTAAATGTTTTTCGGTAGTTTCTCAGTCTGAATTTTAATTTGTTGATGTATGGCTAAAATTTCACAAATCAGATCAATGAGATGCTCAAGCTGCACCTTAATGCTGGATACTACTTTTGTTTATGCTTGTAGTGATTGCTAAAGATTGTGTTTTTCCAATTTTTTTTAAGTTTGAAAGCTGACATCTATTCTTGTTTGAAAACACTCTTATTCCAAATTTTGAGGCTTGAAATTCATAGTTTGTGATTTCCAGAATTGATGCCAGGTTAAAACAACTGTTCGATTACACTTTGGAAAATCAGCTATTCTTATGGTTTTCTTGGTGAGATCATTGCTAGGAAATAAATCTTTATTTTTGTGTAACACATTTCATGACAACTGAATATCACAAAGCACTTTACAGTCAGTGAAGTATTTTTGAAGTGTAGCCACTGCTGTGATGGTAGAAATGTGCCCCTTCATGTGCAGTTTAGCAACTCCGGTCTGGTGTCTGCAACCATTGCAAAATGGACAGGTGAAGTGCAGAGAAGAGGCGGGGTTTTATTTGTTCACAACGTGCTAACAGTTTCCAAGCCAAATCTCAATATTGAACTGCTTTAATAGCATAAGAAAATTTAGCTTGAGTTTTCAATCCGTATCTGAAAGAAGGCAGAGAGGCCCAAAAACCCAAGATCAGGTTGATTAAGTTTTAAAGGAAGCCACCTAATCCTGGATAACAAGGTGTAGAGCTGGATGAACACAGCAGGCCAAGCAGCATCAGAGGAGCAGGAAGGCTGATGTTTCGGGCCGAGACCCTTCTTCAGAAATGGGGGAGGGGAAAGGGGTTCTGAAATAAATAGGGAGAGAGGGGGAGGCGGATAGAAGATGAATAGAGGAGAAGATAGGTGGAGAGGAGACAGACAGGTCAAAGAGGCGGGGATGGAGCCAGTAAAGCTGAGTGTAGGTGGGGAGTTAGGGAGGAGATAGGTCAGTCCAGGGAGGACGGACAGGTCAGGGGGGCAGGATGAGGTTAGGAGGTAGGAGATGGGGATGGGGTTTGAGGTGGGAGGAGGGGATAGGTGGGAGAAAGGACAGGTTAGGGAGGCGGGGACGAGCTGGGCTGGTTTTGGGATGCGGTAGGGGGAGGGGAGATTTTGAAGCCTGTGAAGTCCACATTGATACCATTGGGCTGCAGGGTTCCCAAGCGAAATGAGTTGCTGTTCCTGCAACGTCCAGATGGCATCGTTGTGGCACTGCAGGAGGCCCAGGATGGACATGTCGTCTGAGGAATGGGATAGGGAGTTGAAATGGTTCGCGACTGGGAGGTGCAGTTGTTTAGTGCGATCCGAGCGTAGGTGTTCTGCAAAGCGGTCCCCAAGGCTCCGCTTCGTTTCCCCGATGTAGAGGAGGCCACAACGGGAACAGCAGACGCAGTATACCACATTAGCAGATGTGCAGGTGAACATCTGCTTGATGTGGAAAGTCGTCTTGGGGCCTGGGATGGGGGTGAGGTGGGAGGTGTAGCACTTCCTGCGGTTGTAGGGAAAAGTGCCGGGTGTGGTGGGGCTGGAGGGGAGTGTGGAGCGGATTTGGGAGTCACGGAGAGAGTGGTCCCTCCGGAAAGCAGATAAGGGTGGGGAGGGAAAAATGTCTTTGGTGGTGGGGCTGGGTTGCAGATGGCGGAAGTGTTGGAGGATGATGCGTTGGATCCGGAGGTTGGTGGGGTGGTACGTGAGGACGAGGGGGGATTCTGTTTTGGTTGTTATTGCGGGGAGGGGGTGTGAGGGATGAATTGTGGGAAATGCGGGAGATACGGTCGAGGGCGTTCTCGACCACTGAGGGGGGCGTGAAATTGCGGTCCTTGAAAAACAAGGACATCTGAGATGTACGGGAGTGGAATGTCTCATCTTGGGAGCAGATGCAGCGGAGGCGAAGAAATTGGGAATAGGGGATGGCATTTTTGCAGGAAGGTGGGTGGGAGGAGGTATATTCTAGGTAGCTGTGGGAGTCGGTGGGCTTGAAATGGATATCGGTTTCTAGGTGGTTGCCAGAGATGGAAAGAGAGGTCCGGGAAGGAGAGAGAGGTATCAGAGATGGTCCGGGTGGAAGGTGTTGTTGAAGTGGATGAACTGTTCGAGCTCCTTGTGGGAGCACGAGGCGGCACCGATACAGTCGTCACTGTAACGGAGGAAGAGGTGGGGTTTAGGGCCAGTGTAGGAAGAGGGATTGTTCCACGTAACCTACGAAGAGGCAGGCATAGCTTGGGCCCACCTCATCCTGGATCAGCTTTGTATTGGGTGCTGTTTTTAATTCTTTCCTTTCAACGTTTTAGAACTGGCTGTGATTTGACTCCACAGAACTTTGTCAACAAATGGAATTTTGGCTCTGACTTTTTCATTTCGTCTTTTTCCACTTCTTTTGAATATCACATTAAACATGGTGTCAGCAATTTTGATGTCCGGTATACCATTGTGTCTCCAGGACTTTGATTAAAACAGGCATCTTGATCTGCAGTAGGAGTTTTTAAAGCCTTGGCACAGGGATAACACAGTCTATTTTGAGCAGAAGATATTGGATTCAAATCCAAGACGAGCACATAATTAGGGGTAATAGTTCAGTGCCATATTGAAGTAAGGCCGCATTGAGTACTGTCTTTCAGATGATTTGGCAGATGTTGAAGAACCTGAAGTACAATTTGTAGAAGAGGAAAGGAGGTTCCCCGATGCAGATTTATTGCCTTACCAGTACATTAATGATCACACAAATGTTTTATTGCATTGCTGTTTGTGGAATCCTGTTGTGCACAGTTCGACTTAAGGTAGGAAATGTTATAATTAATGACTGACTACACTTAACGTGTTTTTGGTTATAAAGCCATGGAGCTTCCTTAGGTACTGAATATTAAATTACTATTATATTAATGCAGATTCATTAATTCTTGTAGCTTGGTACCAGCATGGCCATAATCAGAGTAAGAACAGGCTGTGGGTTCTTAGTTTTGGAGTGCTGTTGGGACATTGAAGATACATAATTTATTGTCAGTGCAAAGTAAGGAAATAAATTCATGGCTGATGTCATTTCAGAACTTGTGTTGAGAATTTTTTTCCACCTAGATTTAGACATAGGAATGAGTGAACTTAATTCACAACACTCTTGATTTTCAAATCATTAAAATCAATAACTGTAAAATTAACTGCTCTGAATTGACATCCTCATCTCTGCTTGTCCTATCAATTTGCTGACGTGCCAGTTATGATTATGCTGGGAAGCAGGCTTTGAATGTTGTTACAAATTAATATTAAAAATCCAAAGTGTGTTTATCTATGTTTAATCCTATATTTTCTTATTTGCAGGTGAAGAAATTGATTCTGTCAGCTTCTATGAATATGGATTTAAAGACTTGGCCACCATATTCTTTTATATGTTGATAGCTATCATTCTACATGCTGTGATACAAGAGTATATTCTTGATGTAAGTGAAAAGTTTTGATGCTGTTCTGCAAATTGTGATTGTATTCCTAAGAAAAAAAGGATTGTGACTCTTAACATCTCTACGAATTAATCTCAACTCTTTAATTGTAAAGGAGGAAATACTGTAGTTGCTCCCATTATCAGGAATTTGTAAATATCTGAATCTCATTGTCCTTCTGTTATCACTTCCTGGTTGCCAGTATTTTAAGTTAGAACAGTAAACAATATGGCATCATTCAGTCCTGAAAGGTGATCATGTAAGAACCAAAGTAATTCAGTTACTTTGCTGTACAATTTGTAACGTTTATGAATGACTGCAGTGTCTAATTCTAGAATGATAAATTTTGTCAAAGAAGGTGAAAATGTAAATCACCAAGCCATATTGTGAGGCCTGCGCAGTATTAGCTCTTGAAGCTTGGTATGCTTTTCTCCTGTTAAGGATTCCATTAAACAAGTTGCACACTTAGGAAGCCATTGTCAAAAAAACAAAATAACAGATTACATCCTGCTTTACATGCATATATCCAGGACTCGAGCAATCTAAAGTTACTATATGAAACCCAAAAGAACTGCAGATGCTGCGAATCGAAACAAACACAGAAATTGCTGGAAAAGCTCAGCAGGTATAACAGCATTTCTGAAGAGAAATCCGTTAATGTTTTGGGTGACCCTTCTTCAGAACTGACAGTAGCTGGGAATATGTTGGTTTTTGTGCAGAAGCTAGGGTGGGGGGGGCGAGCGTGTAAGGATCAATGATAGGTGATTGGAGATAGAGCCCAAAGAGAGAGAACAGTTGGACAGAAAAAGGAGTGGATGACAATCTGACTAGAAGTGTGAATAACTGTTAATGGAGACTACCAAGGGTTTGTGTGTAACAGCAGACTGTGATCACAAGGCCTGATGGGGCTAGGACATTGTAGAGTTCAAGCCCTAAAGTTATTGAACTTGATATCAAGTCCAGAAGGCTGCAGGGTCTCCAAGCTGAAAATAAGGTGTTGTTTTCCCCGCTTATGCCGAGCTTCACTGGAGCACTGCAGCAAGCCTGAGACAGAGGTAATGGCCAGGGAACAGGGTGGTGTGTTGAAGTGGCAGGCAACTGGAAGCTCAGGGTCACTTTTGCAGGCAGAATGTAGGTGTTCTGCGAAGCAGCCACCCAGTCTACGCTTCGTTTCCCTAATGTAGAGGAGATCACATTGTGAGCACCGAATGCAGTAGACTACAGGTGAAGTGCAGGTCAAGTGCACCTTCACCTGCAAAGTATGTTTGGCCCCATGGATACTGAGGAGGGAGAAGGTAAATGGGCAACCAGGTCTGAACCATCTCCCACACTTGGGCCTTAACCCTTCTCTTCCTTCTCGCAACAGCAATAGGATTCCCCTTGTCCTTAACTGCCATCCCACCAGCATCCACATCCAGAAAATCATTAGCTGGCATTTTTGCCACCACCAGACAAGCATTCCCCTCCCTTCCCCTCCCCTCCCTTGTCCGCATTCCGCTGGGGCCATTCCCTTTGGGACACCCTAGTCCACTTTTCCTTCACTCCCAACACCCGCACGGCACCTTCCTCTGCAATTGCCGAAGGTGTAACACTTGCCCATTCTTTGGTCTCTATCTCCAGTCATATATTGTTTATTCCTTACTGCCTCCCCCCACCCCACCCAACCCTAATTTCTGCATAAAAACTGACATTCTGCTAACTATCATCAGTTCTGACGAAGGGTCCCCTGACCCCAAAATGTTAACTCTGGTTTCTCTTCATAGATGTTGCCAGACCTACTGACTTTTCCAGCAACTTCTGTGTTTGTTTCTAAAGTGATTAACATTTGAATAGTTGTAAGTGGTTTGCACATTTTTGGGTTTTTTTCTTGGGCAAAGGAAGACTCCGTGTTCTGGACCTATTGTAATGATTGAGATATCTGTGGAAAATAAGTCTGGCATTCAAATGTGAAGTGTGGGATGATCATGCCAGAGGAGAAAACAGTTGTCCCCACTGCACCATAAGTTGCATTGGTAAGCTTGGAAGCCAAGCATTGGGATAATTATTCATTATGTGAATTACACATGTTTGGGCAACTAGATACCCTGTTCAGAAAAATTTGTGACCTTTGTATCGAACTGGGTTTTGGTATATGCAGATCATTTGGAGAAACTTAATTTACTATAATTGTAGTTTGCTTTCTTCCATTTCCCTTGCCACATTGTGATTTTTATGAACTTCTCAATTTTCTGTACCCACTGCCAAGACTTTTATACGGTCAAACCAGCAACACTTTCTGTGATGAAATCAGGAGAGCTTAGCTGTCTGTTCACAGCTAATAGGAATGGTCTATCTTTTGTGTACTTTCTGGCCAACCAGTTTTTGAACAGCACTAGTGAAAACTTGACGTATGGGGCTTATCGACCTGTACCTTTTGCGATGTTTGTTTATGATACTTTGCAATAAAAGGCAGGGAAGTGACCAATAGTATCAAAAAGAGAAGTTCATAATATCATTGTTTCCTAATGTTTAACAAATGAACAATCTATTTTGTAGATTTATCTTTGTCATTTGCTGTCTGGCTGGAGCTTTGTCTTCGCTTGCTGGTAGCATTCCTTTCTCAAGTTCAAATGCCATATGTTTCAAGCCCCACACCAGAGGCAGAAGTATACAATCCAGAAAATACCTCACTGCAGTCCCGAAGTCAGTGGTGCTTTGGCAGAGGTGTTGTCTTTTAGAGATGTCCTCTCAAGTGAACATAATTAGATTCTTCAATTAACTACATGGAAAATAGATTTGTGGTATTGTTATTTGTAAGATTTTACTGTGTACCTTATAAGCTGTGAAATACTTCGGTAGTTTGTGAAATGTTTGATAAGTGCAAATTTGTTTGTACAATATTCAGCTACTAATTCTGCTGTGTCTACTAGATGTCTGAGGCATGGCCTGACCTATACAAATCTCTATTTTTGTGCATTTGCTCTTGTTCCGTGCTTTCAACTACTTCCTTTTTATTATAGACCAGTATTTTTTCCTGCCAAGTTGAGCTATTAGGATGAAAAATTCAGGGTCATAGTCTAATGGTTTGGATAATGTACAGTATTATTGTGTAAGATGTCCAGGGAGTTTTGGCAGTTGTCCACAATTATGCATTGTATTTGCGCGCACATTTGATTTTGTACTCTGATGCATTGACTACTAATTGAACAGTATAATTACTTTGACCCTTTCTTTTAAATTGTGTTCCATGGGAACTTTGGTGAAATAAGTCAATGCAACATGGACATTATTAAAGGTTAAGTCAAAGCTTTATACAGTTTACCAAACATATTTAGAAAGTATTTCAAATAGGGTGCCTTGCCATTACCATTACATGGGTGATTGGGATGTTTAATCTCCCAAGATGTTATTTCATGATTGATAGCAAGACTGACCATTTACAAGTTATGTCAAGATCTGATGTTGCAAACTCTTCCCATTTCCCATTCATAGAGGTGTAGGAGTTGGGAACAGAACTAATACTTCAACTAATAATAAATCACCATACTATAATTATGGATAGTATAATGGGATAATAGCTATGGAATGCACTTGACAAAAATAAAGTTAAAAGGCTGCAACTGAATTAGAGTGAAGAGATGTAACTGTGCCATAAGACCTGAACTTGTTTAATATGTGCTATAGGACAAGCACTGTTGCTGTCATTAATTTCTGCTTGCGGACATGGTCTGAGGAATACTCTTGCCAGTTTTTGCCAGAATTTGTTAACTCCCATTTACTAAATAACACAAAATCTACCCATGCTTCAATATGGGCTTCAATTCCCGTGCAGCTACTCTGTTCACTGCCCCTTTGTGGTGTTCCATGCCTCAATGTTTGGCTTCACTCTTGGTACTCTTAATTGATTGCCGCCCTTCTAGTCCATATTTGAGACCTGTGTAAGGAATGTTGTTTTACACCTGGAAGTATAAAATGGAAAATACAAATCTGGATTATATAGTTTTTTTAATATCTTGAAGGGTAAGTGGATATGTGTAATCACTTATTGGTTATACGAAGGTATGCAACTTTTGGAGAAACAGGAATCGATAGCATTGTGTGCCAAACTCTTACCATGTGCCTTCAGGTTGAAATAAAATAAACTACTCAGCATCAGCCTTCGGATTGGTTTAAAGTGGCTGCTTGTATGCCTCCTCCCTGTCTCTTTCTCCCCCCCACCCAGCACTCTGTCTCATCCCCCCCAAACGTCTGTTCGCGGAAACGAAATAACCCCCAATGACACTTGGAGAAACTCGAGTCAAGAACTAGTTTCAACTGACTGATTACCAATTTAAGAATCACCACAGTTGACAAAAATGTGATACCATCAGAAACCCGAAAAGAACTGAGAGAAAGTTGCCTTGATTCTGCCGGTGGTTTGGACTCTTGATTCATAGAATTCGTTCTATTTTGCCTGTTCGTTCTACCCGTGATTTTCTTGATAAATGGTGTGTCCTGTCTGTTATTTCTATCCTATTTGTGAATGCAGGTGTTTTTGGATTTAAACATGGTTTAGTTTAAGTTTGCATACAATTGATTAATCTATTTTCTCACCTATTAAAGGA